TTTGCAACGCAGTGGAGTGAGTGAGGTTTGGTGTTAGTATAGTCCAGTCGGCTTCTGGCTTTCTCTCTCTCTCTCTGTCTGCCTGCCTCTAAGGTGTAGCAGGGAGGGAGAGAGAGCGTATTGGGCTGTGGCTTCACGGGGTATAGGAGTAAGTCAAACAAGGGTGGTGGGCGGGAAAAACAATTAAAACATCACTACCGAGAATCGGGGAAGAAGACAAAATAAAGGCAGCATCATATTCCTCGATCAGATACGTGCGTGGATGATGATAAAAGCACACGATGAACCCAACTCAACAAACGATCGAATGATAGTAGCACCAATGAGCACAGTGTGTGTGTGCTTGAGCAAAGCACGTATGCATCTCCCGGACATGGTGAAAATGCCATGAATGAATGCTATATCCGGGACAGTCGACGACTGCTTGTACCGAAAAAAAATAAGGACGGTGTCCGCAATAAAGATAATAATAATAATATTAACTGAACTAACGGAAGGCTTTGGAAGAATCCGGATGGAACAGGGCGGACTAGAATGGGCAGACACGAATGTCATGGTGAATCTCCGAAAATATGTGTGAATGGGTTGTTATTGTCGTTCGGCGGCTGAGATTGCAACAAACATCACGGGACTATCGTCATCAATATTGCCACACACAAGAAAAAAACTGACTAGAACTCTGCATTTTGGTGGGAACGGGAACATGACTAAGCGACCAGCGAACCGGGATATTCAGACACTTTACGCATTCCGTCTGCGGATATCAAATGTTCATTCAGTTCGTCGACATCCCCAGATCTGGAGATGGATTTCGGGGAGAAAAACAAAAGCCGAGATCGACACAATTTCCACAGACCCACCGAGAGTAACAGGACGCACAACAGAGCACAGAACACCATTCCCAATGAAACACTGACTATGAACGTGTCACGGGTCATGAGATCGTGTGACGACCAAAGCGGAGCGTAAGAACGCACGGATGCAGTGTATTGTTCCGAAGCACCCCTCTGTCCGGACAAAGCGGTCAACAGTTTGTACGTGTAAGTTTGATCCAACGGTCGATCTCGGTAGGTGACTCCGGGTCGCACCATGGGGCCGAATAAAAAGAGTGGAACATGCATATCCGACTCGGTTGCATCATAGCCATGCGCACCCACATATGGTTGTGTCGGGTCGTACTGATTGGACTCAATCGGCCAGTGCTCCGAGTGGATCAAATAGCCAGGTTTGGCCACCAATAGTAGCGGTGGAAACAATGGGCCACCCGTATGCCATGACGACGGAATTGTAGAAAGATTGTAGACAGAAAAGTGTTTACTACGCAAGCCTTCCAAACGACGGTAGGTCTGCGGAGAGGGAATGTATTACAGCAAAATATGATAACAACGCATTAAAGTTCAAACGAATAAACACCTCAAACTAATATCAACTTAAAAGATTCATATGGTGTTTGCAGTCAAGAAGAAAGTGATTTGTAACCTTTGATTTCATGTGATTTGAGCTGGCAGTTTGGGGAACAGTTTGACCTCTGGTGATAAGATGACGGTCCAAATGCAGAGACGACTGTTAGGTTTACGGCACCGACTTCGAACGACGAGACTGAATTCACTAATTAAACTATCGTCACACTTATGGCTCAATTTTTTTGTTAAAAATATGTATCTAATAAAATACTTATGTGTGGTTTCGCTCATTATTTGGAAACAGCAAACCAACCCAATTTATTGGACGATTATCACAATTTCTATCTTGAAAAACGAGCTAAAATTATCTGAAACAACAACGATAGAACGAACATTGATATTTTGAAGGCATCACACCAGCAAAACATGTGAACAGAGGATAGAATGAAGATGATGACGACCTTGATGACCTTTCCCTATCGCTCGCCAATGTTCGTCAATAATGACCACATTTAACATTCTTGATGAATCTCGTCGTCCATGGAATCACGGAACTGGAATTTTGAGAAAATGAATAACAAATGTTTGAAGCTCAATCTGGAAAGCACATCCCCCGACCATGAGCAGCACGACAATACCATAGTATTCGCGACCCCGATCAACCTGTTCACAACACATTGGAGAACGCCCATCATCGCCTGCGATGATGCGGAGGTTCCAACTAACACGTACAAGGCCTAGCTACAAGACCGTTAGGATCTGGTCATTGGCACCGTAGTCCGACGTCGGGCTAGGAAACGAGACAACTGATCAGCAGCTGCATCCCACCCAACGTTTCCGATAGATTAGCGGTTTACAACTTTCCTTGTAGTCGTTCTGCTACCACAATTAACCAACTGAAGCTTGATATGATTCACTACTTCGAGGGAAGTTGTCAGTTACCGTACAGACACAATAGACCTTTGTGATAAACAAGTCATAGATAGAAAATAAAAACCACAAAGTAGTTGGTTCTGAGCGCTAAACTGATGAACCAGAAAGAACAAGTAATAATGAAGATATCAAATACAGAAATATCAATTTAATTTCTTACATCTGTTTGTTTCATATGCAATTACTTTCCGGGGGAGCCGCAATCGAGTGAAAGCTAACAAACAGGAAATCATTTGCACTGTGAAATCAGAAGCTTCAATTCTGATTGTATTGCTTACTCGGTGAGTATGAACAAACGAAGCCCGTTGGATTGCGACGGCAACAGCTAACTTTGGATAGAACAGAAGCCACCGACCGACAGAGTCCTGAATTGTACATGTTCGCTTATTTTCCTTCGGCAACCGATCACTGGCGAACACAAACAACTACAACCAACAAATACTGTGGCCATTGCAGCTTCAAGGACTATCTGGTAAAACAATTTTTTTTAAATGGCATGCTGGAAAACGCCCCTGAGAGTCACGCGAATTTAGTTGAATCACGTGACCAAATATGGGTCACATGAGCACGGTACTTTGTCCGATGATCCAAGCCAGCAAGCGAAACTCGTTTTTATCACGTGGTCTGCTGCTCCAGTGATACGGCGGTAAGATACACAAGAAGTGGTTTGACTTTAAGAGCAAAACATTACTTTCAATCATTTACCGAACGGAATGTTGCATCACAACCTATTCGTATTGGTCATTTAATGGATCCAGAACAGTTGAGCCCAACCACCCGGTCTTATACTGAGGAAACAGTAAGAACTGATTGTTTGGGGCGTCTTGGCAGTGCTGCAGAATTAATTTAGGGACAGAAACCACACCTGCTCTCCCTATGATGAACAGAAGCCAATATTCAAGACAATAAAAACATCGCTGGCTAGGTTACGCAAGTCCACTTGGTTAACATCGGGATATTACCACATAACCTTGAATTTTAGTTTTTTTTAGTAAATGCTGCATTATTATGAGTGAATAATTTCTTGAAATACACTCAACGACTTTTCAAAATCGTTGTGGGTACCCATCACATTGTCTCAGAGGTTCTGGGTTCGAACCCCGTCACCTCAAGCTAACAATCCCGATCTATTTTTACACCATGGTAGCCCTTTGATTAGCTGCTGCTTCCGTCCTAAATATCGATTTTATACCTGTACATTCAATGAAAAAAGTAAGAGATCGTCAGAGAAAGTCAGTAGATATCTCAGCAAACATAATCAACGAAAGTATCGATTGAACACCAAAATTTACCCGATTGTACCGGTCTGGATGAGGCCAGATGCCCACGGTACTACCGCGATTGATGACTTTCTTCACTTGGTCACTGATCAACCAGCAGTAGTCGGGTGGGGAACCGAACAGGCACGTGGACATATGAGGTGACAGTAGAAATGAAAGGGAAAATAACAAGACGAAAATATTCGAATACATATAGTTAACCAAGTCATAAACAAACAGAGACAGAGGCAGATTTTTAAATAGGCACACACGTTCACATGTGACTGATGGGCAATGCGAAACAGGCATACAGAAAAACACAAAGTGAATCAGATAAAACGCCAAGACAGGTGGTTCATCTGGTGCAGAATAGGAGAGAAAAANCGGATAGGTGATCTTCGTATAAACTAAGGGTTAGAGATGACACCATTTTTTTTCAGAGATGTATCTATTCTGCGGATAATTTGGTACATTCAGACCCTGTTGGACGATCAAAAGCCGAATGAGTAAACATGGATGTGATTAAGCCAAATGGAAAAAGGCTGTACTGGGACAGCCAGTTACGAAAGGGTGCACGACAGCGCTGATCACCCACCGAAAGCCTAGTATATTTCATACGCGTCCGAGTGTACCATACAAATCATAGTACAATAATCTTTATACAAAGAAAATGTTCCATGATTTGCTTGTGTGCGGAATAGCAACCATAGAGCCCAATTTAAATCACCGGCACCGTAGCTTTCTTCTTTCTTTTGTTTGCACTATCTTGCAGAATCATTCATGCCACTCAGCACACAGTTCGGCAGGTCGGGTGGAGGGAGGGAGCTAAAATATACAGCGAGCAAAATGCAAATCCTTGGTGGCTCAAGTTTGTGCATTTAGGATAAAGACCATATATCTTTCTTACTGCTGGTCTTGTATGTATGTGCGGGTATCGCAATTCCATTACATGTCAAGAAGCTGACTTTAGAACTGGAGATATCAGGACG